GGGATATTTAATAGTCAATATACTATACAAAGAATATATCTATAGTTACTAGATTAATACAGATTCTTCGATATTACTATACTAATATCGAGAGATCTTACTATTATAGTTTATCTAATATTGAATCTATCAATATTATTGTAGTTACAATATTTCTTACTCTATAATATTTATATACCGGAATATTATTGCCTGGATAATATTCTATTATTAATAATATTTACTGCTCTTTTAATATTACTGTAGCCAGTATATTATCTGTTAATATTATACTAGTCCGGGGTCCGTAACAAGTATATTAAGATATATTTAAATAATTAATTCTATTTTTAATATTCTATTAATATAGTTTTACTATTTTTATAACTGTTCTGAGATCTTAGTTAGCTGTGTCTCTTATCTTTTATTTTTACTAACTATTATAATCAATATAATTATTATTTATTCAATCAATGAAATCGGCTATAAAGAGCCCTTATATAAAGATTAATATTAAAAATCTATATTTTATAATAATTCTGATATTTATATAGCAGTTAATTAATAATATTTTAATTTTATTATACAGTTCTTATATAAAGTATATAAATATATATTAAATAAGAAATATAATTAGCTTATCTATATAGCTGTATTTAATACTATACAGAATATATATATATTTTAGATATAAAATTTTGTAAATTACTATACTGGCACTGTGGATCTACTATAACTTCAACCCTAGGAACTCCCGCGAGGTAGTAGCCTGTCCTGTAGGTACCAGACCAGTTATCACTGATAAGAAATCCCATTGGCTGGTGAAATGTTTGTCGGAAACTTTAAGCTGCTTTAGGACATCACTGGTAATCATGTGTCATGACTTGTGAGTCATGTGTCCTCTATCTGACTCAAGATGAGTAATAGACACTTTCCCATGAACTCTGTAGACTGTAACTGGTTAGTTATCACGGTATACTTAAGTAATCAAATTCTGTTGACTGTCACGGGACTGTTCCCTTGCTATGTACCCAAGTTTTGGTTAGCAGCTTTTAACTCAGGTTATACATATTGTAGAATTAGATAAAATTAAAAGATTTTAAACACAGTGTATAGTTGTAGTATTTACATTGCTGTGGTCAAATTCTAATAGAACTGTTCGAGGCTCCCAAGCCATTGTGGGTATCAAGCTATTATGCATACAGTATACTCTGTATAAGGATTCATATTTGGCCTCTGTCTGACACCAAGTACCGTGAATTGTTCCATTAATAGTATAGTCCCATAAAGTGATACAGTGTGGGGGGGGGGAAGGGCGCAATTGAAGTTTATAATACCTGTTTAGGATTCAGTGTACCTTCATTCTACCGCCTACCATCATTTACTAGTATAGTAAACGGGACGGAAGCTGGTAACTATACTAAATCCTACAGGTTAGACTTAACAGATTTCTGCCAGCGGAATATGCCTACTTTAGTAGGCGGTCATTAAGTCTGCCGCTAAACCATAAACGGGTGTTGTAATTTTCAAATACCAGCCACTGTAGTTACAATGACCGAAAAGTAGGATCAAGAAACTGCCAGACTAGGTGGGGTAAGAAGGCTGTCGTTGTGGTGCTTAACACTGTATACAACTGTACATATTATGAGAGATTGCCATTGTGGCTAGGTCTGACCGTCAGGCAACTGCAAGTGGTGGGGCTGAAGATCGCCCATGATTCATCCACCAGAGGTAGTGTGATGCTACAGGTGATCGGACTCTTACCCACCCTTTCAGCCTAACATGCAGGAAAATCCCAATTCCGAGCTGCTATTGGCGGGTACATTGCTAAATCTGCCCCTCGATGGATGCCACACCGTGAGCGTACCCACACCACTAACCCCCCTTTATAGCAGAATTTACCCCCGCTCTTCTGTGGCAGTTGTCGTCATATGGCCCTTAATACCGAAGCACTGTATACATCAGAAAACAGCAACATCTCGTCCTCAGGTTACTGAAGGGCTTTTACGCCCGGTAGGCCCTGTTAACATCCCCAAGCCATCCATACATGAGTATCATACCTTCCAATGCTTTCTGGTGACTCTGCAATTGGTGATGGCTCACAGAGGGAACCGTGACCTTGTGATTAGGTAGATGTTTCTACTGCCACGCGCCAACCCCGCATGTCTTACGAGCATCATGGGTACTGCGCTTAAAGCATCAGCCCCAGTCATTGGCGCATTGACTCATACACAGTAGTAGTTCGATCTCTTCTCAGTTTCGCGCCCACCCTTCTCAGGGGCCTTAGTGTATTTCCTTTCTTCCGAATAGGAATAGACTCGCCCTGTTGATCTGTCCTTGAGTTTCTTAAATACATCACGGCATCCCCCCCACCATTCTTTCCAATTGTGACCTTAAATCTGTAAGAGATATCGCCCAATATTCGTATCAAATACTGCACGCTCGGTCATAGTGAGCCTTATCGCCGAAGAGGGTTCTATGTCATCTGCCTATTGCCACCCATAAGACAAAGGGGCGGCCCTGACAAATCACTTTCACGTGTGCCTTGCCAACATTGCCCAATCCTTATTCCATTGACTTCCATAAACATACCATCAGTGCTCGTCACATATCGCCCTCTAGGCACTATATCTTTAGCAAAACACCAGCAGTGACTTTCCCCTTATACTCACTTACACCCTCCTCATTTTTCGTTGTTGTCTGTGTCTGCGACTGACAATCAATCCATTGGGATGACCTCATTTAATGTTGCCTCACCTTTGGGCCGAAACGATAAGACGAACATGAATCGTTTACCATCCGTTTCCAGCCTCATGTCGCCCCCCGAGTCTAAACCCTTCGATAGTTTTAACCCTGCATTTTCACCCCATCAAGTGTCACAGGATCCCTCATTCGGCCATGACATGAAACTTCCTCCTATCTCCGTCGACCGGAAGCGAACACAATCGGAGATGGACTTGCCGTCGCCACCTGTCACTCCATACACAGGCAACAAAAAAAGGAAGTCAAATACATCAGAGCATCTCGAGAGAGATTCAGTAGTTGGCTCTTCAAGGGATCCTGTCCTTTTCCCTCGTCACGATTCTCTTACAGAAGTTGCTACTGATGAGCCGTTGTTTGGCCCCATGCTTCCTACCGCGACGGAAGCATTGGTTGAGCAACATATTAATTCCCACATGGCAAGGTTTGAAAATAAACTAAATAAACCGACACGCGATGAGTACCTTCTAGCTCTTTCGTGTGTGCCAATCGTTTCAGCTCAATATAATCGCAACCCAGGAGCATGGGCTAAAGAGGAGCGAGAAACGCTTGAGCGTCAACTGGTCATGATGAATCGTTGTCGTCCACACTCGTTGGAAGCGAAATTAAAGAGAATTGCCCCAGCGCCGGCCAAGAGGACAGTTCCTGCTCAGACTCGTGCGCAGCGGACTCCCAGGGCTAAGCGTACACCAAGATTCACACCAAAGCAAAAAGTTTTGGACACGTTTGACTTAACCCCACAATCCAGTAACAAGCAACCCCGAGCTATAGGCACAAACCGGGATGATACAGATTATAAATCCATCATGGATTATTCCCCTCCTTTAGAGACTCTCGGAAATAATGCAAAGGCATTAAAAGCAGACTGGAAAGGACAAATGCTGGATCTCAGCAACGATTCAGATCGACACTTACTGAGCGTCGCCGAACTCAACCTTGCAGCAACGTTAAGGCTTTCCTGTGCAACGTATCTATGCAGCAAGCGTCGCATATTTGAGGCTCGTGTCAGGGCTTTGAATGTCGGGAAAGAATTTCGGAAGACAGACGCTCAACAGGCCTGCAAGATTGATGTTAACAAAGCAAGCAAGCTTTGGACGGCATATGATCGAGTTGGCTGGTTCAGACCGGAGCATTTCGAACAATTTCTTAACTGATGTTACAAGATATATTACCCAAGCTTGCCATGCAAAGCTGTTGCATCCCATCATGTGATTTTTTTCTTTAGTTGGTTAATTAGCGAGTTCGTTGTCAGGTTCTTGCATATTATTAAACCCCCCTGTTCTATGTCACTGGTCATGGCTGGTCTGTGTACAACGGAGTGACTCCTACACTTTTGACCCATCCTTTTGCGGGATCTCGTGTCCTTTGCTTTTGGCGTTGTAATTGGAGTATGTTCGCATTCCTCTTATGCATAGCTGTCATCGATGCTCTTTAATGATTTCTTTCTTCCCAAGGCACAGAATTTGGCAGTGAAACACATCCCAGACGTGTTACCATATGTTTATCATACTATATGTATCGTGGTTGGCTTGTTTCTCGTTGGGTACGATTAATTCTACCTAGAATGGCAGATTCGGATTTGATTTTAGTGGATTTTCGATGATTGATCAGGCTTGAACGAAGATTTCAGGGCCTTGAAACTTCACTGCATGGTTGAGGTAGATGGCTGACTTTCCTGCATGCCTATACCTTTATTGGCAGGATCTCGTTCGGAAATCTTTATGTTTATATTTTCCCTCTTTTATTATTGTATGAGAGAAATGCTTATGGGAAAAGTAGGGTAGAGCGTAAAAAGAGGTAGGGTAATGGGGCCTTCTGAACGTACAGCAAGCAATACATTCTAGCTAGTTAAATGTTCACTGCCTCTCATGTGTGATTATCCTAGCTTTTGGCCTCGAGGTAGAGTTTTCTAGGAATAATGGTTTTCTGCTGCCGCTGGTATATTAATCTATGATACACGTGACACATCCCCAAAATGGTAATTTATCACAAAAACCTATCTAAAGGCGGCTGGTGCCCATAGTGAACTTAAAAGCGGCAAGCGGAAGCGACGCTCGGCCAATTGCTTACTCTACGGAGTACGTACGCAATCCCCGTTACTTCCGGTCCGCGCCACATGTGGTAAAGTCCGACCCAAATCGTTTCATGCATCCGTTCCTTTACCTTTACTGTCTTCATCCTGGCATCTGATTCCACATCGTCAGGTTTCAGTCTTCCTTTGTGTTGCGCGCTTGAACCGGTCAGGAAGTCCCTAAACGATAATGTCTCATACCGAGGCTGCTCGTACAGACTCCTTAGGTGAACAGGAAACTCGGGGTGATGTAGAGACCGATAAAAAGGCCAAAAACAGACGACCTGCAAGTATGGATCTACGCAGTCTTGCGAGTATTACAACATCAGTATTTTAACCAATGCTTATGCCATATATAGATACTGCTTTTCGGCAACAGCGCCTGAAAGCCTGGCAGTGAGTTTCTAGTTCCAACGAGTTACATAGTATTCGTGTCTCATCTTGCTGACACTTCACAGGCCTATCTTGACACCAAGGAGTGTGTTGCCTTTGTTTTTTGTCGTTGGTGTTATTTTTGCACCCATTGGTGGCCTTCTCTTGTGGGCAAGCTCAGAGGTAAGATCGAGCTTCTCGTGATGCGCTTGCTGGTAATGACAACTGTACATCTGAAGGTACAAGAAATTGTGATAGATTACTCTGAGTGTGCTGATAAAGCACAACGGACCCCTGTCCCAATCCCAGACAAAGTCCAATCGTCTTTCAAATCTTCCAATCAGCAGCCCAATCCGACTTGGATGAAATACAAAGATGAAGAGACGAACGAGACCATTTGTCGCTTGAGTTTCAAGATCCCAGAGAGCATCGAACCTCCTGTGTTTATGTATTATCGCCTGACAAACTTCTACCAAAACCATCGGCGATACGTGAAATCGCTAGATATAGATCAGCTTAAAGGAAAGGCAGTCGACAATAAAACTATTGATGGCGGTTCATGTGACCCCCTCAAGCTTGATGACAGCGGCAAAGCGTACTATCCATGTGGACTTATCGCTAACTCCATGTTCAACGATACAATCAAAAGCCCCGAGCTTTTGAACGACGGAAATGACGATGATCCTGTAGTATACGTCATGACTAACAAGGGCATCGCATGGGATAGCGATAAGGAACTTATTAAGACCACGCAGTACAAACCAGGACAGGTTGTCCCCCCCCCGAACTGGCAGGCCCGCTATCCGCATAATTACACCACAGAGATTCCTGATCTTCACGATAATGAGGAATTCATGGTTTGGATGAGAACAGCTGCATTGCCTAACTTCAGCAAACTGTCTCGAAGGAATGACACTACGGCAATGTCACCAGGCACTTACCAATTGGACATCGCAGACCGTAAGATTCATACTTTACACAATGTCTGTTCTGCGTTAACTGTTGTGCAGACTTTCCCGTTACAGAGTATGGGGGAACAAAGTCAATACTCATATCTTCCCGGACTGTGATTGGTGGGCAGAACCCTTTCATGGGTATTGCATATGTCGTTGTTGGTGGTCTATGCGTCCTTCTTGGGGCGCTTTTCACTATTGCTCATCTAGTGCGGCCCAGGTAATGATGCTTCGCCCAACCTGATTCTCATAGATCTTGATGGGACTGACGATACAAATAGGAAGCTTGGAGATCACACTTACTTGACCTGGAATAACGAGCAGGAAAGTAGCGCCATAGCAACCGGAAGAGATAATAGGTTTGGGCCGAATACCCATTAAATGATACGTGTTTTCCAACCACCCCTGCGTTATTGTACATCATTGAGTTCCATGCAATCATCTATGGTTCCTGAGAAACCATGCGTCATAGTTCGAGGCGTCTGGTTGGAGTTCCTTGTGGTGTCTGTTGGTTTTAAGCGGCCCTTCTCTTGCTTAACTGTTGGTATGACTACTTTTGTTGCTACACTAGTGTCACCTGGAGTGGGTGCGTCATCAGAGCAAGAGGCCACCTGTTTATGAAGACTGATCTAACGACGGTTGTCGCCAGATTGTTATTTTGATTTTCCCAGATAGGTTGTTTACACCCCTTGTTAACATTCCTGTTACGTTATGGCATTCTTGGACTCAATTATGCTTCTCTTTCGACAGCATCGCCGGTTATATTCACCTGGTAAGCTGGATCTGGCGAAGTTCTATGAAGCCACCAATACTGAAAAAGCACCATGTCGCATTTTCCCACTTTACATATTTTGATCCTTGTGATAGCCAATCTACAAATTCAATGCTTCGCTTTTGTTTCGCAGAGTCGTGGCTTCTGTGCGACCAGCCCGCCCACTGAATCCCTCAAGGCAGAGTACAGGAGATTGAGCGCACTAGGTTTCCAGACTCACAACCCTGTTGATTCCGAAAGTCGGGCGGCAGTCGCCCCGATTGAGATAGATACGTGGTTTCACATCGTTACTGGTGAAGCGGAAACCGAATCGATCTCAGATAAGATGATTGCTGATCAGGTCAGTGGTGGCAGCTTGCTCGGTGTTCCTTTTTCACCCCTCTCTTTTACTTCTCTTTTCTTTCTTCTATGATTATGACAAACAACCTGGTCTTTTCGATAAGTATAATAATAGCAATCGTCTGACTTTCCCATGTGAAGCTTGCTTACCTCCAAAACGCATATCGAAATGCTACAATATCTTACCGCTTACAAGGCGTGACCCGCTCGATAAACGATACGTGGGCTCGCAATGAAGACGAAATGGCAATGAAGACTGCTCTTCGCAGAGGGAGTTATAGGACACTCAATGTTTACTTTCACACTGATCTCCAGGCATCTCCCAGCGCAGGTGCCAGAGCTTCTGACATCATCCGCCGCGAAATGAGTGCCTCGCAACCACAATCTACCAGCATGCTTGGTTTTTGCACGTTGCCTGACCCAAGCATAAACGCCACCAGCCCCCGATCTGCATATATCAAAGATGGCTGTAATGTACTTGCGGAAACCATGCCGGGTGGTTCTCTCGTACATTACAATAGGGGCGGTACCGCGATTCATGAAATAGGTCATTGGAATGGTCTGCTGCACATCTTCGAAGGAGAGTCATGCTCACCCGACAACGAGGGTGATTTCATTGCAGACACGCCGCAGCAGTCCAAGCCCACAGAAGGGTGTCCTGACCAGAAAGATTCATGCCCAGAGCTCCCAGGGTTTGATGCTATCCACAATTTTATGGACTATTCCTCTGATGAGTGCTACGATTCCTTTACTCCGGATCAGGTCGGTAGGATGCGAAGCATGTGGTTTGCGATGAGAGATGGGAAGTGAAACATGGAGAAAACATTGTGTTGCCTCATAACGTGTACCGCCTCTCAGTACTGGGATGGAACTTGCCAATCCGTATCGTTATGCTCACTCTCCTATGTGCTGCTCGATATTGTCTGCCATGTAAAATGTGCCGCGTGATTACGCAGTCCAAGTGTGGGAATAGTATACGTATACATTGTATAGTACGCTAGAGGCAGCGTGATAAATGGAAGTAATAAAAAGCGCACTTCTGCAATAAATCACTCTTCTCGATTCTTTTAACACAGTAAAGTACACATGCAGAGCGATCAGCTGGCTTTTGTTCGTCAGATTATGTTATAACAGATTAAACGCTCCAACTCCAGGATTTTTTTACCTTCACAGGAGAGAATATATAAGCTGGGGGTTGGATGCTGCACAATGTCTCTACCACCAAGGTGCCTTGCGACGCGACCACGATATATCTATGGCAATTTGTTCGCCGGGAAGCTGAAAATACCTATCCCGGGGATCTCGTCCACAACTAGGCGCAGGAAGATACGATGGCAATGGCTACTATACAGGTCATATACGAAGCATAGCGAATGTGTTAGGCGTCCACGACACTGATTGACTTGCATAAACACCCTGCTGTTGCCACATGACAGGGAGACACTTACCCCATACTAATGTCTGAAACCTGGTAATCATCACCATAAACGTAGCAAAATTCTCAGAAAGAAACGATAGGGGAAATAAGAGAAAAGAGAAATAGGTCCCACAAGATTCCCTATGATACAAGTACCAATATTAACGTTTTCGCTTCTTACCACGTTCCTCATCATCCAAACCACTTTCCCTATCCTTCTTCTTGGCCTTCCTTTCCAATTCGTCCCAATCCTCACCACTGTCCTCATCCGCGCTGAAGTCTTCACTTGCCTCAGCACTGGCGTCGTCATCAAATTCGCTATCGTCTTCCGAGCTTTCGTCTGCCGCAGCAAGTTCTGACTCCGACAGTTCGAATGCAGATTCCTCTTCATCGGACGCCCCGCCCTCAGAATCAGACTCTGCTGCAAGGAACGACCAACCTCCATCGGCAAAAAAGCCGTATGGGTCACTTACAACAGTCTTCATGATTGTAGTCCAATTAAGGTTTAGTGGCCCTTCAGTGAATGCAATGTCGACGGAATCGAGCCAATCTTTCACCCCTTCAAGGGACTCAACGGGAATTGTGTTAACATGAACAGGTGGTCTGTGGAAATCTTTAAACACAAACACCAAGTCAAAGTTCTTGAGCCCGAACTACAGCCATGTTAGCAATATGAAGCGCGCCTGTCCAACCAGTACATACCTGAACGCGCTCTAGATGAGCAATTTCAATCTCATTCAGGGTGATTACAAGAAAAGGGGGCTCTGTTAATTGAACCAGAGCATCCGTAGTTGGCTGAATTAAGACATTGGAGCGGTTGGGTACACCAGTGAAACCAATTTCTCTAAATGGTATGTCAACGTCCACTCCTTCGTCTTTACCCGCATCTGCTATTTTTTCAGCGAAAGCCTTGAATTCTCGATCTAAGGCTGCCCTCCGCCGTCTCTCTTCTTGTTCTGCCTCGAACTCTTCCTCGTCGCCGTACCGATGTTTGCGCCTACGATTGCCAGTCTCATCAAACTGCATCTCAGTTGCCTCACGATAGAACTGCACGTCCCTCGTCTTGCGCTTGCCAATCATGATGGGTGTTTTCAGGTGAACGTGAATTAGGACAATCAACTCGTGGGCACAAGGCTGAAAAAATAGGTGTTTCACATTGCTGAAAAGCACGTCGACATGCTCGTTTCGGAAAGGTGACATATAACGAAGACCATTTTGGTGGATTTCGACCTCTCCGGGGACTCGTTTACCATCTAATGGAGGCCGAAGATAAACATCAGGCAATCTCACAGGACGGCGATCTGGAGTACTGTTAGCTCATGTTAGCGTTATTAAGGATTATTATCAAATACTTCTGATTTCGATGAGCTTATCTTGCTCCACCACGTCTTCCATCTCTTTCTTTTCCTGTTCACGTCTCAGGGCATTTTTCCTGAGCTCTGTGATATCTTGAGCAACCTGTCCAAGTCGTTCGTTATCTTTGGACCTGAGGGTTAAATTGCGCAGAAAGTGTGCCGATATGTCTTCAAATGGTTGGTCATCCTTCCGACCAACACCCTGACCGGGTGAAAGAAAATTGATTCGGAGATAAGCGTATTCTCCTTCATCACTTTTGCTAGCATTTTTGATTGTGTTGATATGGAAAGGTACTGGTCGACCCATGATTGGAACAATTACCGTCGATGCTTTGTGATCCACATAAATAGTGAGATCCTTAACCTTAATAGGCAATTGGTTATCCCTCTTATACGATTCAAATCGTTTGAATTTTTTCTGAGCGACTCCATTATCGTCACCTGTAGTACCGGCGAACCGATCGAGGCCTTCCTTTGTCTTTTTGTCGCTAACTCCTTCTGGTGTTCGCGACGTCGTGCCTCTGCACCTTCATTGACCTGAGTCGGTCGCTCAGCGCGAAGTTTGGTGCGCGTAACATTTCTGTTAGCCGTTGCGCTGGACTTGACCTCCTTTTTCTCTTTGGCAGGTTTCTGGGGTTCATCTTCATCCCCAAAGTAGAATGAAACAGAATCCATATCAATACCCGCATCCTTGGTGAATATGTGCGGACCATTTTCTCCAACACGTACAGTGTCTGTAATAATCATTGAGTAGACAGCATTGTTTTTGTCTTTGGACTCTAGCTCTTCGACATCTGTCAGCCCCACCGTTATAGAAAGAGTCATGCCACTCTTCAAAATTTTGTTGTTCTTGCCATTCAAAACCATGTTAGAATCTCGGAGCTCAATTCCAATACCGGCTCCAACGCTTTTAACAAAGTGACTTTCAAGTTCAGGCTTTTTGGCTCGTACCAGCCCAATTGCTTTGTTAAATAGGTCTTTGGCCATCGTTCCGTCGCGAACGTCTTTCATCACTGCATCGTGAAGGTTCAGCAGAAAGGCATAATTAGCTTCCTGAGACTTGCTCGGATCTACCAAATAAGTGCGTGCTATTATGGAACTGTAAGTTTTGTAGCGGATTCCAAACCCAGCAACAATAATCCCTGCCTGAAGGTGACTATTATCAGACGTAGCTGTAAGCCGAAGGTCATACTTTCCGCCACTTTGAACGACAGGGCCATATGCCCAGTCAATCTGTTGAGGATCAAATTCCGTTGGGAGCTTAGCAAGTTTCTTAAAGAATTTCGCATCGTCAATTTTTGCGTCGATCCGCATCGAGAGTGCCTTGTGTGTCATTTGTTTTTCTTCGTCGAGTAGGCGGGACATCTCATCAACGAAATATTCGGACATCAAACCGCTACAAGCCCTTGAGGCGTTTCGAATAGCCACCTTCAGAATATTAGATCTCAGTTCACTCAGTGCAGTGCCAGGAAAAGAGCCTACCAACTCATCTGTATCTTTCACCGAGAAGGCGGCTGCAGAAAGAGCGGGTGAAATGTCGACTTCTTCCACATCTTGCGTTATGTTTCCAAACGCACGCTTCCAATCTTCCGCGAACGGGCCAGCAGCTGTATCTCTTGGAAGTACACCAACCCTTTTCTGTTGCAGGTACTTGATTAGCACGTATGGCAAACATTCGAGTGTTTAGTGTGTAGGACAACACTCACGCCGGCATTTTTTATAACTTCTAAGCACTTTTCGAAAGATCTGGTTTTTTCGTTTGGATCCTTGGAGGTGACAAGTATCTCTACTGGGATCTTGCCACCTTTCAAGGGTTCTAGGTGTTTGGCTACATTTCACAGGCCAGCGTCAGTCGACAGATTTATGAAATCCGCATTGATCAGTCCTCACCCTTTTTTGCCGTAGTCACAACGTACATCATATCTGTTGTGAAAACCATAAGCGTAGCCGGAAATTCATAGCCAAGAAGCCAGAACTAGGATTGAAGATTAATAATTTGGAGCCTTTAAAATGGATCGTACGTGAAAGAAGCAATGAGCCATACATGCATCGCGTTGTTTTTCTGAAAGCTATTCGCTTCATCTGTTTTCCCCATGAGGATAACGATTGATCCTACGCCCCCAAAAACAGCATGGCCAGGTCGTTTGTCTGCCTTCCATGCTGCAAAGAAGCTTGAGAGACGGTTGAAAAATGCGCTTTTATCAATCACGATCTCTTCAGCCATGGTGAATATGATTCGAGTTCAAGCCGAAGACCTAATACCTCCTGATCTTCAACAAAAGTCTAGGTAGGGAGACGGGAGTATGAAGCAAAAAGGAAGTAATATATCACTGGGCATGTATCAGGCAAGCTCCCAAGTAGCCAGTATTGGCACGGCTACTTTAGGTTGGTATGTGGTTGTAGAAGCAAGCGACATATGTTGACGCTTATCAAGAGAAGCTAGGAATAATTCCCGGGACTTGGTTACAAACGCGGGTCAAGAGCGGCAAAGCGCGTTTTTGGCAAAGCTTTCAAGTGTTTGTACTGTTTGATTCATCTACAGTGACGATAGTACTGACAGTTGTTTATCACATATGCGCTGAGGTGTCACTACAACTGCACTGTATTGCCAAGTGAATCTCTGAAAACTCTTTACCCATCTCATTTGCTCATACGATCTGCAAAATTCTTGCCTCATTGTTTCAGGACTTATTATTGCTGCCACTTTCAATGCTTTGAGTGTATTAATGTGGTCACCTTCCTGATGGAGCATGTCAATATTAATACTGCAAAATGGAATCCCAAAAATGCTTCACCTCTTGTGATACCATAATTCATGGTTCTCATGTGTCCAGTTCAGATACTGAAGGCTCCTCCAACAAGAAACCACGCAATACTGCAGCCACCGGGGCATCTGCTGCTGGCGTTCGTGCTCTCAGCGCGCAGTTGGTTGCATTCTACTTCAGAGCGCCAATAAAAGCATTCTTTCGCACTCGAGTTGAGTATGAAGCCGCGGTGTTATTGCTTGACTTTTGTCTTGATTCACAGAACTCATATTGACTTGATTGTTTTACCCTCAGTTATATGGTACTTGATTCAGTCTCCAACCGTCATATATACTCGTTACCAATGCTGACCGTCTATTTATGTACTTCATAACAGGCATTTGCCAGGGCTGTCAATCCACACTCATCTGAAAGCCGATGGTCTCTCCATACTACTACCCCAGGGCTACTTGTCCATGCTGTTCGCACATATGGTTGGCGCTTTATTCCAAATCAAATCATGCCTCCCCTTTTGGCAAATGCCGGGTAGGTTTATAGGGAAAAAAATGCACCCCATTGTATACATCTAACTTTGCGAATAGGGTTGGTGCTGTGTTATATACATCATATCTCCAGGTTCTTGGAGCCTTGTATGAGCCAGTCTCCCGTGGGGTGAAGCGTATCTATCCACCTGCTAGTCCGTTATGTACATTTACAGCTGGATTTGCGGCTGGAGCTCTTCAATCGATAGTGGCTGCGCCTTTAGATGCTCTCCAGGTTCGTCTTCGGGCGAATGACATACTTGAAGGCCAGTATCGGAGCATGTGGCATTACGGCCGACATAAACTCAAACAGATCGGCATTCGCGGTATCTTTGCGGGTTGGAGTCTGTCATTCTTGCGTGACGCTTTCGGCTACGGCGTCTTTTTCTCATTTTTCGAGTACATCAAATCGCAGGCATACTATTCATTTATCACCGGATACTATGGACCTTTGCGCATTCATTATGTGAATGAGCTGTTATCTACTAAGTCCAGTGACCGCGATGTTCCACTCATCAAACCTCACTATACTCTAGAGCCGTGTTTTTTGATGGCCGCGGGCGTTGCGGCATCCATAGCCCAACAAGCAATACAGCACCCGCTAAGCATCATACAGAACCTTCATGTTGCTCGACTAGAATATTTGGATCATCAGGCAAGCCTCCACCCTTCCAGGCGGCAGATGCTACGCCTTTATTATCTTGCCTATCAGGAGACATACAAACGATGCAGGAAGAGGGCCACGCGAGCTGGTGGCTGGCGCCATTGGTTGTTTCGCGGATTTGTAAGAAATGCCATTCGTCAAGTGCCTAGCACTAGCGCTGGATTGGTGATATTTGAATTGGTCCGTCGTAAATATGCCAGTTTGGCGGATGCCGTGTATATTCAGAAAGATGGATATGATCTTCTCCTACCATAGGTCCTCCTTATTCCACAGATAGATCTTGGGATGAGAAGATGGATCAGCTGAGGGGTTAGCAACTGAATAGTGATCGTATTAACCCTGTGGAAGATGATGCAGACGCAGTGCTGGTATAAAGACTGCGTCATGATGTCAGTTGGCTGTCTAAATATGAAAGCTAATGTGCTCCTCAACCTCAGCAAGAAAAAGGATATTTGCAATAGCAGGTTCTCCCTGTACGTATATATTTCTCCTGCGAGCAAAACCTACTGTACCCCAAAGCTAGCACACTAGCGGAGAAGCCAATCTACTAATAGACGAGCATGAGTGTTTTACAAATCATTAAAGGGTCCAGCCTCTTGACTACTTTCCCATAAAGACTCCATTCGCTATCAAGCGATTTTTCCAGAGGTGCCTCCAAGCCACCTCTGGCGATTACCTAAGAGGAATAAATGTCATACGGAAGCAGCCAACCATGACTGCCACTGCTCAGTAACCCCTGTAATTCAGACAGAATTAGCATCATGGATGGGTTCCATTGGTGCACAGAGTGGCTGCCCAGACTTAGGCAGTCAATTGGAAAGTTGCCCGGCCCGATAATTCATGTATGGAGGATGCAAATGCATAGTACTACTCCGAAGTAGGTATGTTCTCATTAAATACGGTACCTAGTACCAGGTGTACTAGTAGTTCTCATTCACTCCTAAGGTATCTTCTCGAACTTTGTATAAAACCTGGTTCGTTACCTCATAGGAGTGACCTACCTAGTAGTTCTTAGCATTTGGAAGCCCCAGGATAGTCTAGTATGGGCAACTGGGTTGAATAGATGGACAATTTAAGACACTAGGACACTAGACCAAGTGACCCATATTTCCTGGATCCACCCCTCCGCTGGTTGTGGAGGTTCCCCCAGATACACCTCCAGCGGCAAAGAATAATTAATGTCATTACGTTCACTGTTCTAGCTGTTCATTGTTGCCCCTAGGTATTTCAGAGCACTGTTAGTTTTTATCTTGTATGGAACCCCACACCTGGGTATGCCCTTTAAAGCACATAAACTTTCACCAGTGATCAGCTGTACGTATTCCTGATTGCAAATCATCACCTGCTAACGTAAATATGCTCTTTGCCCAACCTGTTAGCCTTATTTGATTACCTTTCCTTACTTCCACCTGACCGTCTCTCTTCGGCTGAACAACATCGATTTTCGTCATTTTGCATCGTTGGTCAACTGCCCGTCTCGTGGACAAAATCATCACTACCGCTTTCTACTCTCGTTGACTCGTCTATTGGTTACCGGACCTTTGCCTCAGCTTGTTTTTCGTCACCCTATTACAGTGCCGTTCTTCTGATTCATCCCTTCGAACGGGACTCATCGGGGCCGGTCTGTTAGTTCGTATGCCCCTTGATGAAATTTCATTAGTCCATTTCTCTCTTCTCTGGAGGAATACGGGGTGTCCCTACTCGCATCAATTGTCGATCCACCCCAACTCAAACGTAGTACCTAGTCACCTTTCACCGCAAGAAGGGCTGATAATTGCAGCCCATCACGACCGTCAACATTACTTCGCCATCTTCGCCGTGTATTTCCCCGAGCATACCCTTGCAGTCTCTACAATACCGGTCTCAGTCATCTCCTGCGCAGTCTGTGAGAGTACACGAATCTGCTAGCGAGAAGGGTAGCCGGCGTTCTTCTTTATCTGTACAGTCTGTCGAGTCTGAGTATTCTCTCTGGACAGGCACTGGCGACCTAGCTGAACAGCTCGCTAATGAAGAAGACCCCCTCCGGATCCGTCTCGGAGAATCTCTGGATCGTGAGATCTCTAGTCGATTGGGGTCGAGGGCGCGAGTAAAACAGCTGAAACGAGTACATTACCCTAACGAAAGCAATCTTGCCACTGAGCAAGCCGAACCCGAGAAGACAATAGAGATACCTTGTCCGCCGCCCCGACATATTTCGCGGGTTGAACGTCTCCTCGCTGTCATAATGTCTCCAGGCAATCGGCAGACGGCACAAATGCATGGCTTGGTTGGGAAGCCACTGCTGTAAGTGAATTTTATATTCTTACACTTTCTTTGGTGTCTGTATTGTTCCCGCTAACTCCACAAAGGTACTTCACTAGTGTCTTTGTATCTTTAGGCGTCTTTCTTTTTGGCTATGACCAAGGTGTCATGTCTGGTATTATAACGTTCGTCTCCTGTCCCTAAAGAAGGTTCCAGGGTGCTCTCAAATTAATATCAAGGCAGTGGTTGGTATTTTAAGGATTATTTCAACCAACCGTCACGCGCTGCAATTGGTACGGTTGTTGCAATCCTCGAGGTTGGAGCCTTTATATCCTCGTTACTTGTTGGACGTGTTGGCGACTTGATAGGGCGTCGCCGAACGATTCTTTACGGCTCAATAGTCTTTTTCATAGGCGGAGCACTGCAGACATTCGCAAATGGACTTGCCATGATGATGGTTGGTCGTATCGTCGCTGGTTTAGGAGTTGGCGCGTTGTCAACGATCGTACCTGTTTATCAGTCTGAGATATCGGTAAATTATATACCCCCAACCTTGGCCGAAATTTAGCCTCTCTCTGTTTATCTTCACCACTGCTAACAGCTAGCCTTAAGCCCCCTCACAACCGAGGGAAGTTGGCGTGTATTGAATTCACTGGAAACATTTCAGGATATGCAGCCAGTGTCTGGGTTGATTACTTTTGTAGCTTCATCGACAACAACTATTCGTGGCGTCTACCGTTACTATGCCAGTGTATAATGGGGGCTCTTCTTGGACTAGGAAGCCTCATTATATGTGAATCACCAAGGTCCGCTAAAGTATGCTTATGCTTACAACCAGAACGTGTGCTAATACTTCGCTTTATCAGATGGTTGTTAGATAATGATTATGATGAGGAAGGCATGGTAGTTATTGCTAATCTCTACGGACAGGGAGACTTGCACAATGACAAAGCAAGACAGGAGTACAGAGACATCAAAATGGATGTTCTTCTTCAGCGGCAAGAAGGTGAAAGGTCTTACACTGACATGTTCAAGCGCTACAAGAAACGGGTCTTGATAGCCATGTCCGCTCAGGCTTTAGCCCAATTGAATGGTATTAACGTCATCTCCTATTACGCCCCGCTCGTTTTTGAATCAGCAGGGTGGGCGGGCCGCGATGCTATTTTAATGACCGGCATCAATGCAATTTCATACCTCGCATCCACGGTTCCTCCGTGGTACCTTGTTGACCGCTGGGGTAGGCGACCAATCCTACTTTCGGGAGCTGTCGCTATGATTGTCTCTCTCTCTTTGATATCATATTTTATTTTCATTGATATTACAGCAACTCCCACACTCACCGTGATTCTCGTTATGATCTATAATGCTGCTTTTGGTGCATCCTGGGGACTATCCCATGGCTATACCCGCCTGAGATCTTGCCATTAAGCATTCGTGCAAAGGGCGCCAGTCTTAGCACAGCTACGAACTGGGCTTTTAATTGGCTTGTTGGAGAGCTCACACCTATCCTACAGGCCGTAATAAAATGGCGCCTCTACCTAGTACACGCCTTTTTCTGTGCGTGTAGCTTTGTCCTCGGTTAGTACCATTCTCTTCGGAAAGTTATTATATCCTGACATGTGCTTTGGTTAGTTTACTTCCTATACCCGGAGACTAGTGGCGTTCGTCTTGAGGATATGGATACTCTGTTTGGGGACGCAACTACCGCCATGCCAACACCCGCCTCTCAAGGAGAACGTGGCTCTCTAATGAGCGTTGGTTCGCCTGTGCCTTCACTTGACATACGGCGGCAATATGGACAGTTTGGCCCTGAAAATGCCATTCCTGGTCTAGATATCGATCCTCCAACCATCAATGCTGGAGAGAACGCAAAAGTCGGTCAGCGTGGTTCTCAAGATGGCGGTGGCCGCCTTGAGGGCCTTGGCGGTTGGATCTCAAACATGGTCTCTCGTCATAAGGGGTCATCTGGACAACGGCTCCAAGGCACTCAGTATAGACGCCTTGGGCAAGATGACGAGAACGAGTAATGGGCGGTAGGGCATCATCAGCTCGCAGTGAGGTTCCTATACGTCTTCCACTGATATCGCATTGCCTTCTTTTTTCTCTGAATTCTTTTTCTTTTACTTACGAACGGTCTGAGGTGAAGTTTTTTACATGTCGCACGTGCCCTTTTCTTGGCCTTTGCTTCGTGTCCATATCTTTGACCGCATATCACACTCTGTCTCCTAGTGCACGTACCTCTACCGTTGTCTTATCACACTGTTGCGTAGAATAACGGTGCATTTGTCTTGACACGGCCTTTTGTGAGATATTATGGGGCTATCAGGTATTACCCATGCTGAGATATTAATTCGGACTTGATATCTCAATGGACATGAGCTAATCACTGTTCACTGGGATGAAAGAGATCGGAACATTCTGTCCTAATTGTTCACAACCTTGAAGATAGCACTCAGAACAATAGGTATTACTGAGAGTTGTGTTCTTCAATTCACTCCATCAGTCTCTTTGGGGGTGAACGTTGGGATTATGGGGGTTGGCTTTAGTGGGAGGAGGCTGTTACTGTGTGGTAGTATGTGTATATATAATAAATTTTAGGCGTTTGCTGGTCTTGCATAAGGTGTGTAAAATAGGCGTCCGCAGTCACATAGGACCCAAAAAGATCACCAGAGCATTGATGAAGGTGGAGGCTTTCAAACTACGCTGCAGGAAGAGCTTATTCAAAATTGGTAGAAATGACAAGTTGATCAAACGGCACCAAGTAAGCCTGACCAAGCTGACAACTCTACGTCTCATGATTCAATCCCCAGTTCCTCTCCCAACCCAGAAGAGATGTACAGCAGTGTTGGTTTATGAATTTCTTCCTGTCGCCAGGCATGGGAGGTAACGTATTCGGTAAGGGAGCGGGTCACGCAAGTAGCCGGGTCAGATCTGTATTCTATACAATATGGCCTTCTTTTAAACATGAATATCTCAATCAATATTTGAAAATATACTATTTTATATGGGATACAGAGGTGGCCGAGCGGCTTACCAGTTACGTTAACGTAATCGGTAAACGAGCTGCACACACAACCGAGCTACGCAGCTCTGTATCCTATAAAAATCGGCTGATTTTACTACTTGAATATCTCAGTAACCAAAGATAGTAAGAATGATTTTTTTTTATTTTTATACTATAAATAAAAAATACCAAAAATACCGCTGTAATATCTAATACTAGAGATGGTATTACTTATATAAATTTCTTTTTTTAAATATATAAAAGATTAAGTACTATTCTATACTCTATTTAATTTTTAGACTATTGTAGCTTCTGGTTGTTGAGATATTTAAGTATTAAAGAGTCAACTTGTATGGAAAATAGAGCTGCGTAGCTCGGTTGCTTGCGCAGCTCGTTTACCGATTACGTTAACGTAATCGGTAAGCTCCTGATGGCCGTTAAATATAAATACCGAGGCTAGTATGGAGTCCATCTTTCTAAGTTATGTTGATTCAAACATACCGACTCCCGTAATGAGTTGACAGTACATAGTACAGAGTAATTAAAGATCAGGGAAGCAGGAGGTTTGTGGACTAACCCGTTTGTGATTTAGTAGTTGCGTAGAGCAACGTCAATCAAGCCAATAAGAGATGGATTTTCATAGCATTGATACTAATACTGTCGCGGTGTACTCTGGAGTAGGTACAGTACTACTACCAAGGTAGTACTACTAGTAGTATCTTTACAGGGTGTTCAAGTAATTGTCCATTCATGAACAACCTTTATTGTAGCTAGAATTATGTTACTATCTGAGCAGTTTATTTAGATGTTTTAGAGTGACAATTGTTTGGCCGCAGCGAAGCCTCCCGTAGACATTATGCAAACTACTACACTATAAGCTAGTAATGTTCTAGACCACCATCGGTCTTGTGTGTCTACACCAACACCACTGCTAACTTGTTAGGGTACACCATACTTAGAACAAAACATAACTACTAGTAACATGTTATGGAATATCATCTACTCCCTTTCACTTTATATCTTCTAGGCAGCATGACAGCCACTGTAAATATTCGCCTGAGATGAACCTGGCAAGATAGACTCTGTAAGCGTGACATAGCGCTAAGGACAAGTGATTTCTATTTAAAAAAAAATATACTGCTATATAATACTACATATTATCTGATTTTGACTTGCAGAGTAATCCCAAGACCTCTCTTTTACAATGGAGAAATTTGTGATCGATATTTATTATTAGTACGTACACATGGCCGGAATTAAATGTGGCCTAAGCGGGGCCGCAGCTTAGGACGACCGCGCCGGTTTTTCCGTGTTATGTCCAGGCCAACTCTCCATTTGCTTCCACTACCTACACCACTGCTCCTGCATTTGAAAAGTGTTGTCGTCTTTCATTTCCGATGCCTTCCCTGTCCTCCTTAATTATTTGACTGTTCTTGTGGCTTCTTCTTCTATTCTCTACATTCAATCCTTTCTATTCATCCACTTTGTTCAATTCGCCGAAATTGATTCACTTGTCTACGAGCACTGTCGACACGGCCTCCCATTACCTCGCGTTCACGGAACTCCATGTTATGCTATCGGATATGAGACTGTATTATTGTTGAACTCAATTACCCTTTCTTGTTGAGTGTTTCCTTTCGTTCCGCCATTTTTTCTTTTCTTTTCTTTTCCCCTTTTTATTACTACGTCTTTGCCAATACCTCGAACCTTCTCCCCGGATATACGCTATTTACCCCCTTCATTACCAAACCGGAAACTCCCAGGGAGAGACCCTCGACTATGGCAGAAATGGACTCTGCATCAAGTACCGGTGTGAATCTAGCCTCTGATATACGGCGCCGAAATGTCCCGCATACTGAGGGGCCTAGAAGGGAACCCGATGGCACGGAGGAGAGCAAGCCCAAAGTATGTTTCCTTTCAATTCTAGCGCCCTAAAAATACAGCGCTCAAGGACTAATGCCAGTCGGGTTGGCCTGTAGCCCAATCCATCAGTTTCCATTCTAGATAATTGGGAACCCCTGATAATGCCCATTCTGTTGACGGCTGTAGCTATCTTTACTCGCATGTACCGGATTGGTCGCTCGAATATCGTGACTTGGGATGAAGCGCAGTAAGAGAAACATAAACCCTGATGAGTCGTACCGTGTTGGGCCAGTTTCTTACCCTAGGTTTAGCTTTGGCAAATTTGGGTCACATTACTTGAAACGTGAGTTCTACTTCGACGTACACCCGCCGCTGGGGAAAATGCTTGTCGGCTTGTCGGGTTATCTTGCCGGTTACAATGGGTCGTTCGAATTCAAATCTGGTGATAAGTATCCGGAAGAAGTTAATTATACATTCATGCGCGTCTTTAACGCTGCATTCGGCGTCGCGTGCGTGCCACTTGCTTATTATACAGCACGAGAACTTGGCTTTCGCAGAGCTACTATCTGGCTCGTGAGTTTGATGGTGCTACTTGATAACTCATACGCAACCATCTCAAGGTTTATATTACTGGATTCCATGCTGCTCTGTTTCACGTTCACTACCACCTTCTGTTGGGCAAAGTTTCACAGACTACAACATGCGAGTTTCTCCATTGAATGGTTTGTCTGGCTATTCCTGACCGGGATAAGCATCGGTTGTGTGTGCAGTGTGAAGTGGGTAGGTTTCTTTTGCACAGCGCTTGTAGGCCTCTATACGATCGAGGATCTATGGAACAAATTTGGCGATCTAAAGATGTCAGAGGTTAGTTATGGAAGGAATCAGTAGCTCGAATATTTTGCTAAACCCACTCCCAGGTCGTCCTTGCCAAGCATCTCATGGCTCGTGTGGTGGGGCTGATCATTATACCTGTTTTGGTTTATATGTTTTCATTCTACCTGCATTTCATGGTTCTCGAAAATAGTGGACCGGGCGACGCCCAAATGAGTTCACTTTTCCAGGCCAACCTGAGAGGAACTGAGGTCGGGAAAGATAGCCCCCTGGAAATTGCTCTTGGTTCTAGAGTCACACTGAAGAACATGGGTTACGGTGGCGGACTTCTCCATTCGCATATCCAGACATACCCCGAGGGGTCCAACCAGCAACAGGTTACCTGTTATCACCACAAGGACGCCAACAACGACTGGTTCATCTACCCAAGCCGCCGCGAGCCAGAGTATGATCCGAGTGCGCCTCTAAAGTTTGTCGGCGATGGTGATGTCATTCGTCTTATTCATGGACAGACAGGCCGGAATTTACACTCTCATGCTATTTCTGCACCAATTACCAAGTCTCACTACGAAGTCTCATGCTATGGCAATATCACTATCGGTGATGATAAAGATCATTGGTTGGTTGAGGTTGTTGATGATGTTGCATCGAAGGATAGAAGTAAAATCCGCACTCTTACCACTGCCTTTCGCTTGCGACATCCTGTTCTGGGTTGTTATTTACGAGCAGGCAACGTTAATCTCCCCCAATGGGGATTCAAACAGATTGAAGCCACATGCGTGAAGGAGAACAAACCGAGCGATGTTTACACACACTGGAATGTCGAGTCTCATGCTAACGACCGGCGTAAGCTTCAATTTTTGAGCCCCATGCATTTACAGAAGAAAGGATATTAACTATCGATTATACAGTTCCACCGGGTGATCCGGGATCCTATAAGTCGCCTTTCATGAAAGACTTTATCCATTTGAATGTTGCCATGATGACATCCAATAATGCGTTGTTCCCGACCCAGATAAGCAGGATGATCTCGCCTCAAAATTTTGGCAGTGGCCTATACTTAATGTTGGGCTTCGGATGTGCTCCTGGGACGACAATACTATCAAATACTATCTCCTTGGCAACCCATTCGTTTACTGGGGAAGTACGATTAGCCTTGGCGTCTTTGGGCTCTTGGTATTATGGTATCTCGTGCGCTGGCAGCGAGGTTACAATGAGCTTTCCCAAGCAGATATTAACCATATCCATTATTCTGGCTTGTACCCAGTCATTGGATGGATTCTGCATTATCTGCCTTTCATTGTCATGGGAAGAGTGACGTATGTTCATCATTACTACCCAGCCCTGTATTACGCCATTCTTACCTTCGGATTCTGTGTTGACTGGCTCACGCAAACAATGAATGTTAAATCCCGCTGGATGATCTATTCTTTACTTTATGCTATCATAGTTGGAATGTTCGTGCACTTCCGCGTGATTGTGTTTGGCATTGAAGGTTCAAGTCAGCAGTGGGGTCATTTGGACTGGCTGAGCGGCTGGCGCATCGCCAATTAAAACACCTTGCTTCTTCTGTCATTCCATGTCTACTTTTCTTTCCTCTTTGTCTCCCTATACTTTGTCTTACCTTCCTTCTTTATTATCGCCTTCCTGCTGTTTCCGGTCCCTCTTGCTTCCATTGTGTTGCTATTAAATCACCCTTACTATGGCCTATGTAGTACCTCATCGACCATCCCGGCGATCTCAATGCAGTCTGTAATTTACCACGTCAAATTCAGAAGGATTATTAATCTATCGGTAGTTTTTAGGATATTTAAAACTTTCCTAAAGCTTAGTTCAAGCATTGATGGTTATGTCTTAAGAAGGGTAAACTAGTAGACTTATCGCTGATCTCAGGCAGCATTGCACAACCAGGATTATCGCAGTCGTGGACGTAATCTACTCAACAACAGTTTCCAGGCCATGCATTTCCGCCCCTGCGCATCGCATCGTTCAAGCCTAGAGTGACAGTTGTCGGGACATTAGTGTTACCCCCACCGGTAGCGCCGAAGCCCTTCACTCCGCTTCGGCGGTCATTCAAATCGTACCTGCCCACCTCGATGTTTCGATAAATTCTCTCCGCAACCTCAAGAAACGCACGCTCGACATTATCACCAGACTTTGCACTGGTCTCAACGTAGCGTACGACGTTGTTCATGCGGCACCACTCCTCCGCCTCTCGTCTCGTAACATGCCTCTGATTCCGCTCCGAATCATCACCGGCCAGATCGCTTTTGTTACCGACCAGAATGACTACGATTCCTTCTTCCGCAATTTGCCGCAAATCCTGCAACCACTGTGTGCATGAAGTAAACGTAGATGGTCTCGTTATATCGAACACAAGCAGAGCACCAGAGGCACCGCGAAAATAAGACCGGGTGATCGATTTGTACGTTTCCTGCCCTGCTGTATCCCAAAGTGATAACTTCATCTTTTTCTGAGACTCGGCTGTTTTTCTTGGGGGATTAGGTAAACCGGAAACGATGGGCTCCTCTGTGGCATCTAGAGCTACCGGCGACGAAAAGGAACGGGTGCGAGGCTTGGTGTCTGATTCTATATTTAGGGCCTTTGAAGCAGGTGGTCCAACTGGAACAATACGCGATCCAAATTCCACACCAATGGTCACATCGTGGGAAGATGAAAAGCGTCCTTCGCAAAGCCGAATAGTCAACTATAGCAAGGATCAGCATGATCGAACTACGGCATCCAAAGAGCGATCAGACACTTACGCTAGACTTTCCAGTCCCAGAGTCACCAATACAGACAAGCTTAGCGATGTAATCCCATGGCTGTGACATGGATACAGCGGACTCTAGATTTGAAGATAGTTGGTTCCTGATTAACTAATATCCGCCAGCTCAGGTGTCTGAGACTCATGCTCCGAAAACCGTTGTTAAAACTACCCGAGACAGGGTTTAAAGCAAACCGTTTAAGTGCACTAGAGACTTTAAAGGAAATTGTCTTAGTCCTATATGGGTCATATGAGAATTGCCTGAGGCGCTCTTTAACATATAAGCGGAAGCGGGCTTTTCAGAACTTTCCTCTGCTGATAGGGTTTCGTATGGGGCGGCGGCCTTCGTACACGTGATTAGACAGGCATAGCAAACCCCTTTACCGAACTTTACGCTAAGTCATTTAACTGCTGACTCTTGCTCTTCTGAGGCATAATATCCGATTTCTGATCATGACTCGAACAAACTGATTTGATAGTGTGGTGCTTTCTCTTTTTTTCTTCAAAAGCTGGTCATTTTCCTACAACATAGAAAACAATGAGCTACCATGATACCTTATTAGGATCCATACAGAACCCCACCATGTGATAACTAATAAATGGGGTACCAACAAAGCCTTGCGAGATGAAAATATATGATCTGCCAAGCACTGTGGATCGCCTGTGTGGGTCCTCATCATTGTACTTAGTAGACTAGTACATAGTAGATCCGTGAACGGAGTATCTGGAGTAGATACTATATCTAGAGCATTTCCGGAACAAACCAGATATACTCCGGAGTATAGTTAAAAGGTTCTTTCCGGAACCATGGCGTTAGGTTAGGTTCCTTAAGTGGAGACACTCCCGAAAGCTGAGTCATCTATCACCATGACCTTGCCTTATGACGCTTGCACCTTCTTCCCAGTAGGTACTACTAGTTCACTTTATGCCTTGCACAGGCCTCCATTTCCCCCCTTCCATTTTATCGTACAATTTCCGAGCAAGTTACTCTGGATAGATAGTTTCCCAGATGTTCTCCTTGCCAGCCTCCACGTACCACTGGCTCTGAAACTATCACTAAATCTTTTAGAGCTCACCGCTTCCATATCGACTTTCGAACGAGCAACATTCAGGATAATCAGGAAGCAGCAGCTGCTTTATACCGCAAGTTGGCTTTCCATCGGGAGTTAGTTAGAGATGTTCTCGGAATGTATGTGCCATATAGAGTTATAGAGTTGCCACTGTCTACACCTAATCCCCGGTCCATCGCTCACCACCACACAGATGCCTCTCGCTTCCTCGCCCAGTCACAATCACGACTACTTCCTCACTCTGACGAAACACGCAGGAAAGGTCATGGGCGTCTAATGCAGCAACCGGGAAATTCCCGTTTTCCATCCTCGCGGTCCTTTCTGCAACGGGCAGCCCTTGACCCGTATCAACCAACGGCATCTCAAATTTCTAACCTCCCTCTTGGTTCTCGAAACTCGGCCCAGCCTGCGCCTCTTTTCTACAGTGCTACTGATGACTTTTGTGAAGAGGATGATGAAGCAGAGCATGAGCGTGAGATTGCCGACTTCTATGCCCTCCAGAAATCAAGGCGAAATTTTGGCAGTAGTCATCTGAAAGCTTCTTCGGAGATCGATGAAAATGATGACCATTCAAATAGAGTTGATGATCATGGAACATCTAGATATGGAATGTATGGCAAGGTGCAAGGCATCAGGAGCTCCTGGCGTGCTGGGACGTCCTATCACGGGGAACGAGATGTGACTGCTGAGAAAGAAGCCGAGGCTGTTGATGTTGAAGATGGGCCGCCCATAGGCGGGAATGTCAGAGCTAGAGCTAAGCTAGTTGACGTTCACCTCGAAGATAGCCTGCGATCCGCATTGGATGGTGATGGAACCGATTCTTCAGAGACAGGTGATGATAACCCTCCTTCCATCCAACGATTTCGGGGGCAGTCTCAACCACGGAAGGGCAATTTTGGCATAGATTCATTTTTCATGCCGATGGAAACGGACAGGCAACCGTTGATAAATGATCCCATGCCACTAAGTCCCGCGGACCCTGTTCAAGCCGCGTTTGCCCCGGTAAGAGCCGAATCGCCCATGCACGATGTTTTCTGGGGCCAACTTTTTCTGATATCTATCGCCTGCCTTTTCGCTACTTCTTTCCTTGTCTATCTCCATACTTCCACTCCCTCAGGGGATAAATCAACGTGGGGCGACACGATATACTTGACCATTCACTCCTCGTTCTATCTGCTTGGTTCCTATACTGTTACCTCGGTTTTTGCCTCGCTGCTTTGGCTTGCACTACTGCGGTCCTATATACGCCAACTGGTATACGTGATCATTATCGCTGTTCCCATGATCTTATATTCCTTCTCTCTTTATCCATTTGTTTCAAGCTTCAAAGGGGCCTGGCATGGAACAAGCATACAGGATAAAGCAATGAGATGGGGATCCATTGCTCCATTCATTATAGCTAGCGTGTGGATATACAATGTAATCCGGGGCCGTCATGCTATAGGTAAAGCGATCAGAATTCTCGAGTTTGCATGTCGGATCCTCGCCACAAACCCAGAGCTACTGATCCTTGGTCTTGGTATTCTCACCTTCGTCGCTTCATGGACATGGTTGTGGATGCTTATGTTCACGCGAGTATTCCTAGGAGGAAGCATAATGGGCCCGGGTCGCTTCATCATCAGTTTTAGCAGTTGGTGGCTCGGGGTCTACTTCATTATTGTCTATGTTTGGTCACTGGGAGTCATCGCTGGCATTCAACGTGCAGTTACAGCTGCTACAGTGAGCCAGTGGTACTTTCACAGACTTGCATGCCCTGCCCCGACATCAAGACAGATTGTTTGGGCAGCGATTGTCCATTCGCTCACAGCTCTATTTGGCACGATTTGCTTGTCCAGATTAAGTGCACTCCTTGTTCGACTACCTCTTCTCTTACTCCCGAGTCGTATCACCTCTGTCTTGAGCTTGTTCGCTTACTCCGTTGTACCCACCCCAGTCACAACACTCACAGATCCTCTTGCACTCACTTATGCTGCAATACATTCACAGCCGCTGGTTGTGTCTGCTCGAAGTCTTGCCCGGATGACGACTCTTTCGTCTACGATAATCAATTCCTCACTTCATCCTCGGTCCTATTCACGACTACACGAAAACATGACGCCTCTACTTCCCTATCGACTTGCAAAATTGATCCTCCATGCTGCCCGACTCATGATGTCTCTGGCTCTTGGGTTTGGAGGTTGGGTGACTACTGCTCGTGACCTAGGTGTGGCGAGCGGTAGCGGTGTTATTAGAGGCAGTGTATATGCCTATGTGGTCGGGCTGATTGCGGGAACGATTGGTTGGAGTGTACTGGGAGCGATAGAACGTGTAATAGCCGATATTGTAGACGCCTCTATCATCTGTTGGAGCAGCGAGGTTGGCGCGTATGGTAGAGAAGCTAGGTATTGTCGGGAAGCTGACTGGCTCTTTGGCGGGGTTTCAGGTTTAGACTCCAGCTATACACGCCATCGAGAAGCGCCTTGATTTTCTGAGCGGCTGTACTCATTACATAGCATTGGCATAATGCTAGGTGGGCACTGTCCGTAAACCTCAGCGCGTACTTCCCCCGGCCCTCTGCTTCTTCAGCTTTTACTCAGGAAAGCCATGATTCCGGTTTATCTAAAGGTCTTAGTGTTTCGGGTTCGTCAATCGCAATGCATATCAAAGAAGAGTATCAATTTGGATATATTAGTATAGGGGTTTCGGGATAGAGAGAGAGAGTGAGATGCAGATCAGTGCTTCATAAATCTAGACCTCGACGAGCTTTAGAGTCCTTGCTATGGCCTTCCTATTTACTAGCAACGCATCGATATTGCAATAGATACACGAAACAGTAGGGAACTAGGATATATATACTAGATTTGAATGTTGCCTAGTGTAGTTAGTTTACATAATAATGGAAGTTATGGATGGGCTGAAAATTCGGTTAACAAGAATTGTTCCTGTCGTATACCAATATATAGTGGGATAGGTTGGGTTGAAAACCTGTAACCCATTGAAAACTACCTAGTAACTAATACTAATAAAAAATGATCATGACCAATGTATCTAACCTATTTTCGGGACTGCCAAAACATATCCATATAAACCATACGAAACTATACATGACCTCTATGAAAAAGGGATATAACCCATGGTATCATGCTATAATAACAGCTAGAAGTAGACGTACGCCACTTCCTCCCTAAATCCTATGACGCCAACGCAGACCGCTGGAAGAAAACAGATCATATAATAGATAATAGTGAAAATAAAAGTGGAAATCGCAAAAGACAAAGTTGAACGATCGGATGGTGGGAATCTATAAACAAAGTCGGCCATTCCATTCCACACCTTCCTTTTTGCACCACTCTCTTAGTATTGAGTAACCAAATCGGACAGTTTCTACTGGTGTGGTCATTCTTCCTAAAGGCAGGAAAAACTCACCAGAATAGTCACCAGGTTTGAGCCGTTGCTTTCCTTGTTCTGAAAAGTTTCTAGACCGCCTGGACCAGGTGTCAGGGAATTCATGAACAAGAATGTCTTCTGAAAGTCCTTGTGAGCCCTCCAGCCATAGCCTCTGAGATTCTTTGTAGCATTGCGGCAGTCGACCTTTTAGCTCTAAGATTTCCCTTCGATTCTTTTTGCTTTCATCGGATACAACAGTACTTCCATCACTCCCTGGTGTTGGCACAGGGGTGTGTTCCCCCGGCAAAGGGGTGACCGCAAACCGCTCCAGATCAAGCGCATGAATAGCATCATAGGACGTAGCGCCAAGAATCAAACAAAGGCTATGAAGCTGCGGGAAGGGGGCGCTATTCTTTTTGACCACACGCCAATAAGCGAGTATAGATAGCCAAGATGATGAGTCGCTAATCTGTCGAGACAAAGTTTTGGATTGATCGTCAGCAACAAAGGCTAGAATAAAACAGAGAATAGCTTCAATAGCAGTAGCTGCTGCAAGCTTCTCGTCAACATCAGTCACACAATCTCTGGTGGTATGTCTTTCCGCGGCATGTTTTAATTCCCGCCCTAAATTCCCATACTTCTGATATTCATCCTTCCAAGCCCGACGCTCACCATTGCGTGACGCGCTTGGCTGAGGGGTTACCTGTGACACTGATTGTTTTACACCAGTGACCGAATCGCCTGGTGGATATCTGCCGGTTGGCTGTGAGAACGTCCTACCGTCGTTTCCAACGTTTTCTGAACCAAAAGTTGAGTTTTTAAGATCTCTAACAGGCGTAACCGAGGTTTGTTTTGTTTTTTCCTGGTTGTGTGTTATAGTACTGAGGGTGGATGACACTGGGGTTCGAGGTTTTTCAGAGCCCGCATTCTTAGGTACTTGGCTGCTCGGAACGTGTCTTGTTTTCCCCTCAGACCGGTAAATTCTAGAGTTGGGGTAATCTGATGCCGTAGCCTTTGTAATAGTTTCGCTGGGCCTCTTGGTCAGGACGGAATCAGGATCGACTATATTCTTCGCAGGTGAGCCGGGAGGCGCCACTTTCCTTTTCCCTGAAAATTTGAGGAGAGCTTCAATACGCTTTCTATTCGCTCTGCCATACTTGAGTTTCATCAGCAATTGCGGTTTCACTGATTTTCCATAGCTGTTAGGCTTGTCATCTGTTTGATACCGTAAGCTGGACGTAGGAGTTTCGCTCAAGGAAGAAGCCACAGAGCCTTGAGTAGTAGATGGACGCTTATCAGCCACAGAATTTGGGTATTTGCTTTGCAAGCTCTGACGGCTAGCGACGAAGGTTGAATCTATGCATGACGTGCCGAAGTCAGAGGACTTTGCTTTCTGAGTCTTGGCCCTCAAAGCATCACCATTGGTAGCGTTCTTCGTCCGCGTAGGATCTGAGACAAGCGTCTCCTCGCCAAATTTAGCGAGCTCTTTCTCTATGGTTGGTGGGAGGGTTGGTGATAAGAGCCTGGGCAGTTTAGGGCTGCTTGAAGTTGGCGGAAGGGTGGGTGACAAGAGAGTTGGAAGGCCATTAACTTTTGAGCGCCCAGACTTATTGAGCTCTGCTTCTGCTTCGGCAGAGAGTTTCGGTTTCTTTAAACCCATTTCGACACCCTTCCTTTCCTGCAGCCTGGAGTTCTCCGGCTCAGATTCAACGGGCCGCTTGCGTTCCAGAGTTTCAGAGCCAGGCAGAATGGAAATGCGTGAAGCCGCAATTTTATCAGGGGACTTCTGCATATCGTTTCCAACAGGACTGACTTTGGGAGCTCTTTGGCTGTCTTCAATTACAAAGTCCATTGAGAGATGGTGGCTAGAAGCTTCCTGGCCAATGGGAGAAGGTGATGCGCCTGTCTTTCTTTTATTCTTATAGTCGTTCAAACTGATCTTTTTTTTGACCGGGCCGCTCCATGGAGTGCCTGCTGCACTCTGGAGTCCAGATTGCTGGTCGGACATGACGTTTCCAGTCCCGTCTGACCAATCACCAACAGCCACCAGTAACGAGTCTCCTTCGTGATGTGTTAAGAAGGTCATATACTGAAGTTGGTGCTCTTCTGGTGAGAATGGACCGTCATTACCCACAGCCCAATTATTGACGAAGCGGCTTCCAAGGCGGAAAGGTACATCGGTAGGCACAGTTAGGAGAAAAGGATAAAGTGGAAGAACGTCTTCCTTAAGATGTTTCAGTCGCCGATCGATCGGATGCTGTTCCGATGTATACGCCCGTTCACTGGGAAGCTTGGTGATTTTTATATCATCGTCCGTGGCGCGAGAGGGCCGGTTCACCGACATTGCACTCCGTTGACAGAACGAGGATGAATGCTTGACAACCGTATTTAAGATGATTTTGCGGTAGTCAGATGTTTGAATATGCTAACCCGTTACTTCCGTCTTCTTCAAGTCCAAGTCACTGGAACTCATGCGGTTTCGTTATACGATAATCCGACGCGAAAAAAGTAGGCAAGAGCATCACAACGGTCGCCTTGTCAATTAGCTAAACCCGTGTTCTCTCTATAGGGTTAGTAATCAACAAACTTGTATACGTACAGACATGAGATCGAAACAGCTCAACCTCGAGTGCTCTCGAGCTGTCACACCGCTTGGACCTTCCAAGGAAACCTTGGCAACTGAACAAGCGTTCGCCGAAGTCAATCAACCACACGAAACAAGCAAGGGTGGTCTTCGGAGCGTACAGTCCAAGGCAGCCGAGCCAATATCACTTTTATTTCTGTATGTACGCAATGAGTGGAACCTTTCCGGTTGGAAACAGGCAGTTGCTGAGCTCTTGGTCTTCACGAGAAAGAGAACTGATGATTGACAGACCGATGCCAGAACGAGGCCATATGGACGGAGGCCTTTCCGTTCGCTGGATGAAGACTATACGTGGGCACCCGAATGAGATATAATGAATGAGGCGAAAAATAGAGGCAAAAGAGGGGATGAGAAGATGAAAATTAAAAAAGGGGGCGGGTGGCCGACGACAAATGTGGATAGAAATATAGAGAATAGCACTTCCTCATGAAGATGATTGTAATTGTTAGGGAAGGTCCATTCGGACTGGAGCCGAAGCGGAGACGCTTGGCAGTAAGCACACTATCAGCACCTTCCTTCTTCTATCTAGTATGGAGACTCGAGAGTATGCCTGACCTGGGTACATACAGGAACCCTTACTTCCTATGTGTTTAAAATCATAATGTGCTCACTGTGACTGTCAAAGCTATCTATTGGAATTCTTACCCAGCTACTAGTAATGTCTTTGAGTCCACTTCGGTATTTGAATGTGGGGGGATATGTGATACGATCAATGGGAAACTACTAATGACAAGAGGCACCTGAGGTTCTTTCTTCCGCTTTCTGTTTGTTTGCTGAGTCAAGTAAAAATTGCACGCAGCACAATACAAAATCCTTGAGTTGCGAGTTGCTGGGGTACTGAATGCCGTTTATATGTTTATGGCCAGCCACCGAGTAGATATTTATCTTCCCAGAAAGCTTTGGCATCTGTAACAAGGTATCGTCTACCTCCTAGCCTTGATTGGGAGATCAGAGCACACGGATAGCTGGCGGGACAGAGCTCTTCGCTCCTTGTTGTGTTGGAGACATTGCCACGATCTTCGGACCATTTCAGTATACTCTTTTTAGCCAAGCTGCACAATACCTAAACTGATCGAATGGACAACATTTTCCCTGAATGATGGGAGTCAGTAGTCCATAACTCGTTCATATTCCCTGGGTTCTTGAAACGGGACAAGGTTTCCATATCGGAGGCACGGATAATAGTTGAATTAGTTAATTTAAAGGGTATAATTTTAGCCCTTTCCCACATGTCATTAATGTAATATTGCAAGAAGTGGACACTCCTATCCAATGGGCTTCCCTGCGGCTTTCACCTTTCCCATGGTAGTCCCTATAGGCCATTGTTAGCTTTAGGCAAATGCAAGAGGCACCTGTCAAAAAGCCACGAAAGAATGGATATCTATAGACTGCTAATGGTCCACTTGGAGCTTTTCCAGGCTTGCGTTGATCACTCTTTGGGTATGTGCAATAG